TGTGAGTGTCCACGACTCAAACCCGTAGAGAAGTGTGGAAAGTACGTAGCACTTGACGAAGTTGTCTTTTATATGAATGTTGAGACGTTTATCGCAAAGTAGGTTCCGCAATTTTAGGGAGTTTGATCTAGCCATCTCATTTCGAGCTCTGATCTAAATGTCTGGGTTTAAGTCTTCACTAATCCAACTACCCAAATATCTAAACTTTGAGACTTTTGCTATTGGTGTCCCACCTACGACTTCCTCCGTTGCCTGTCTTGCATCTCTATTTATCACCTTGACTTTGTTTTGTTTGATATTTATCCTGAGCACCATTGAGTCGCCCACCGAGGACAGTCTATCAAGAAGTCTTTGCAGGCCCTCAGTGGTGTCTGCAATAACGACAGTATCATCAGCATATCTCAAGTTGTTAATCAGCCTACCATTCACTTTTATGCCGTCTTCTGATCCCTCAAGCGCATTTCGAAATATTAGTTCCGGAGTACATATGAAGAAGCATAGTGCTCAAATACGCATCCTGCCTAACTTCACGCTTGATAGGTATTGTTGTTGTTTCAGTGTCCTGTAGTTTTATTGTCGCTACTTGTTGTTCGTATAGCTTTTGGATAATTTTCAGGTCTTGGGTATCCAAGCCTCTTCTTTCAAGGATGCTCAGCAATTCCCTGTGGTTGACGCAGTCGAATGCCTTCGTGTAGTCTATGAAACATAGGTGTACCTCCTTTTGTTGATCTCTGCACTTCTGCCAAAGCACCGATAGCGCAAACAGGGCTTCTCTCGTTCCCAGTCCCTCGCGAAATCCCAGTTGCTGTTCACTTATGTCTAACTCACATTTTCTTCGGATTCGATTATGCAGAACCTAAAAACAGTTTATGTAGGACTATGGACTCATAGAACTTATTAAACGAAAACTCATCACATTTTTTTGCACCAGTTTTTTTAGGAATAGGTATAAATGTCGACCTTAGCCCAGTCCTGCGGTATGTTTCCGGTATTGTATACAGAATTAAAGAGGTTTACCAATAACTTTAAATTGTCTCCGTTTATTAGTTTTATCAATTCTGGGTAGATGTTGTCCGGTCCAGCTGCTTTCCGGTTTTTGGTGTTCTTTAAAGCTCTCTCCATTTCTGAGATCATTATATCTGGACCATTTTCAGTTTCTATTTGGGAGTGAAAAGAGGGGCCACCGTCATCGAACAGTTCCCTTATGTAATTGGTCCATACCTCCTCTAGTTTTTGTTCGGTTAGGATTGGTTTATTCTCACCGTCCACGATTCTGGTACATGTTCGAGGTTTGTGTTTCCCAGTGACTTCTTTGACTTTTTTATGTAGGTTAAACAAGTCATGTTTTTGGTGGAGCTCCTCGACTTCGCGGCACCTCTCCGTCATCCACAGTTCTTTGGTTTCTTTGATTTTATTTCTGATAAACCTGTGAGTGTCTCTATATCTCTGAGGGTCTGTGTCTTTTAAAAACTTCGCCGCTTCCATGAGGTCTAAAAATTTCTTGAGTCATCCACGCTTTATGGTGCTTCTCGTATTATTTGTTGTTTAGTTGTTCTTGTGTTTCCTGCAGCGCTTCTTTAATTTTCTTCCAGATATTCTCTATGTTATTGTGGTCTTCCAGTCCAGGGGTTTGAGAGGCATTTGCCTGTTGGATCTTTCCTAGTTGCTCGTTGAGTTTGTTGGATACGTCTTGTCGTTGTGCCTCACTTCTCAGTAAACTCATGTTGGGTTTTTTAGTGAACTTTCGAACAATTTTTTTTGAGCCTCATTCGGATTCGTGCCACAACGGGATTATGGTCTGACCCAACATCCGCTCCTGGGTAAGTCTTTGCACTAAGTACTCCATTTCTGTATCGTTTTGGAGCTTAATGAACATAAACACATGCAAAGAGGTGAAACAATAAGTTATTATGGCAGAGTGATGTACGGTGATGTAATAGGACGAACTAGACACGATCCGATGGCGAGTGAGAGTATGGAATGTGGAAGTATTTGAAGTACAGAGGAGATGTCATGTAACAGAGGGAGCAAAGGAATTCCGATAACACAATGAGGAGGGAGTTGATTAACGGAATCTGCTTAAACAAAGTAGGTTCTGTCCAAATTAGCCCTGACAGCAAAAGGAATATCGATGTAATTTACCGATAATGCTGTTTTTGCGAATTATGATTATGTTTCAACATCTCGCTGATGTAAGAATTCATATAAAATTGTAAAATTAGTTATAAAAAAACATAAATATAAGTATGTAGGTATTTTCATCACTACCGCTCTTAATCCAGACAATTAATTTATGATCTATAAAATGTGTTTACGATATTTGTAAATAACACTAACCATATATATGACACTATTTATACAACTGATTTAATGTATTTGTTTCAATTTTGCTTTTTCTGGTCCATTTACATTTTTAATATAAAAAATTATTACTATTTTGTAATATGTTCTGTAGTACCAAAGTACTACCGTACATCTATTGACAAACTAAAGTTTGTCATGAACTGATTGATATAAATTATACAATGTTTTTCGAAACATGCGTAGGATTTGACGACCTGCAATAAATAATTCCTTCAAAACTTAAATATTTTTCATATACAAATAAAATGTAGCCACAATTTATCGACGTCGAAAATAGCTACAGGCGTCCATATTAAAATAGAATGTAGAATGTTTAGAGGGGAGGACTCTCTTGAGTTATAACGAGTTATAACCATCATACAATTCAGAACTTTGACAAAAGCTGGTATCTGAGACTCAGCCACACTTGTACCCCTCTAATGTAATTTCGTTCATCTTGTACCGGACCATACCAATAGGTATGGTATACCAATAGGTATGGTAGGCTCTTAAGATCGGCAAGATGAAGTTTTTCTAATTTCACTCAAATGAGTTATTTCGGTCATAAAAATGAACCGATGTAATGCGACAGCCGGGCACTGAAGCGTCAGACGCTCACATAGGAAATCAGTTATGCATAATTGCACTGAACCAGTACCTCGCGTTTATCGCATGCGCTGAACGCATACGTTTTGACGCAGTTAGGAACTTCCACCTTTAGGGAATCCTACCTTTAATCCCAAAATTACAGTAGCTAAGGAAACGTAAGTGGCTTTCAGTTTAGGATTAGGAATAACATTTGCCACAAAATTTATAATAACATCAAAATCAGTCAAAGTCGGTAGTTTTCGAGATAAAAAAAATTGCAATTCCCTTTACTTGAAACTAAAAGAATTTTTTTTTTTTTTTTTATTAACATATTTAGTATGGACGGCTATACATGCCTCCCAGCGCCAATTCTTTTCAAATGTGGACGTGATGTAATCTATTGTGCATATCTAGAAAAGGCATTTCATTCTTAGTATGATTTGAAAATGTTTCAATTTGTTTGGTTGTATACATATTATAAATCGTAAGTATACCATAAGCTAAGCGTAATTCATCACTGGTCGTAACTAGTCCGCTGGTAAATTACGATCTAACAAGAACTCACTGATTTGTACAATTAAGGATGTATATTTATATATTTTGTATTATAAGAGACGATACAGAATGATTTACGTGTATCGTAAATTATTTTTTTCAAAAAAAAAACGATACCTCAACTTTTAGTCTGAAAATATACGCATAATTGACAAATTGATAATATTTTTGGAGAATCCTACTCATTACCGCCTAGCTCTTAAAATTATATTAGTATAATAGTGGCGGATACAGAGGGGAGCCATATGAGGCCCGGTCCCCTAAAATTCAGAAATTCTCCGTGTTAAATATTAGGCTTTGGGTTAAAAATGGCGCTCTAAAAAGTATATTCTACGTTACTTTGATTTTGCCCCCAAAACAAATTCCCGCAATAGGTAAAATTTAGTTATATTCGTAGTAACTTAGTTTCAAGCTAAAGACGAACAAAATTCGTGTCTTTTGTAGTCAAATAACTATGAAATAAACCATCTGGTTATTTATAATTCCCAAACTTAACAGAAATCAATAAAACCATTTGTCCCAGCCATAGGAATAAAAACATCACAATAGGTTTTACTTATGTTATGGATTGATTTGTTGATATTTCCAAAAGGGTAATTTAGAAGTTCAAAAGAGCGATGACAGCGAACAATCAATTTCAATATATCAACGCTCTATATTGACTTATATTGTTTGCATTCAGTTGCACCCTACATTATCCGATCAATTTGATCTAGCTGATATCATTAACGTTGATTGAAAATAAATTCATGATGTTCAGAAATGTTTAATTTCAACCTTTTCAACCTTACAACGTAACGACACAATATGAATGTAAATGCTTTCTAGTGGGGAGCTCGACCTCTGACAAAGCAGCATCTTGTTAAGGCATTGTGGTTGTTGTAGGTATATCAGGAAAAACTTGTGTCTAGCCCCAGTAGGCAACTATTAAGCCCGACAATCACATTAGAGTTTTTGACAACACAAATGAATTAACACCTCCAAATAACCACGCTAAACAACCTGATTGGTCAAGCTTTAATAATAGTTGTTTGGTTGGGGCTAGACTCTTCTTGATTTAGCCATATGTCGTCGAGGTGTCCGAGACCTCAAGTTAGCGATTATGTACCGGAAGTAAAAGTAAACTGTATATGATTTCCGATGTTTTTCTCATGTTGGTGTAGTTATTATTTTGAGCTTCCGTATCCTTTGCTTTCATGGCTCAAGACATGAAGAATGGGCCCAAAATTATTCTTGATCAAAATGACGACGCGCGACGGTATAAGATTTAGGGAAAATGTCACGAGTTCCGAAGATGATACTCAGTTTCAAACTTAGCACACGTATTTAAACCAAACAAAACAAACATCGTCTTTTGCTATTTCCTGGTTAACTTTACTCTATTTTGGTTTTGGTCTTGCAGATTTAACGCTGGGGTCTCGTTCTTAGTCTTTTTGTGCACGACCAAGACCAGTCTCGCACTAGTCAGAATGCTGTTACATTCGATGTTGAAGAACATTATTTTTTTGTTCCAGATCGATGTTAAAACCTCAAACATCGGCCAAGCCGTCCATCGACCTGCTGGCCCAGGCGCCCACGATGGACAATAATCGCCTGGAGAAGCTGGTGAAGAATTTCGTGCACGAAGACAAAGCCCGACTGGCCGCGGCCGCGGCCGCGGCCGCCTGCACTTCCAAACCGATGCCAAACAGTATTCAGTACGCCCTGCAGAAGTTCGAGAAGGGATCTGTGGTGGAAAATGGATACGCGCCGAAGAAACCCGCACCCAGCACGGTCAAGAAGGTTCCTGGATATCAGTCGACGACTACCGTTGAACAGGTGGGTTAATAAACAATCGCAATCTGGAGATTATATAGATTGAGGAATTGGTTGAAACTTGTTTTTGTCGTTTTCTGTAACTGTAAGTTCAATGGTTTGTCAGGTACTTAAGGTAAATGTTGACTATAACGATAAGGTTCAAGTATGGTAGATTTCCAAATCCGGTTAGGTCTTTCAATTTTTTCTAAGAGACTAACTAGCATTTTCTAAATTTTACATGAGAGCTAAAAAAACGAAAGAGAGTTAAGTTTAAAGCAGCTTAGTTTGAAATCTAATAGGTTTGTTTCAGCACGTTCTGGATACGATAACGCTTCTGCGCTGTAGAAAAAATGCGTTCCAACTAGTGATATGGTAAAGTATCTATTCGAACTCGAAGAGCCCCATCTTTTCCTAATATTTGGACAACGTTTCGTGCACTACGAAACCCCATCATTAATGAATCAAATCAAAAAATCGTCCAATTTAAATGAAACTTGGTATGTCGATAGATTGGACCAAGACCAACTTGACCCTGTAAGACACGTGTCACTGTGACAGTTAGTTTTGACGTAAAACATGTCAAAATTTGATGGCATCTAAAATTGGATCGCGACCAAATTTGGTGGGTAGGCTATGTGAGCGACGGTGCATACGGTCCCACCCTGCAATGTTGGATAGGACGTTTCGTTTACATCTTCATTAGGGCGGGACTGACGATTTGATAATGAAGAAAAATGTGGGTCGATTTCGGCATAATTGGGGATGACACCCTTGGCGCGGCGTTTCGAACCGATGCCTCTACATGGAATTCTTCAGTGTTTTTCTTAATTATGGGTCGATTGGAACCAAACTCGGCACGTGTATAGAGGAACCCGAATGGAGTCCTTAGACATACATAGTGCACACACAATTTTTTTTTTCTTTTTAATTTTCGGCTATTTCTGTTTTAAATTTGCCGAGATGCCACCTCGCATAATTTTTGATAGAAAAAAATGTATTTTGGACACTCTGTAACGTAAAACTGCAAGTAGGTACCTATAAAAATATTTCTGGTCACTGCAAGCGTTTAAATCTAGCAAGCGATAGTACCTAATTGGCGAAAATGTAGAATTTTACATCACAAATTTTAATGATCTTTGATAATAAGCTTTATAAATTAAGGTTTGGGTATATTTTTCATTGGTGCTCTCTAGGGGAACAAACGAAGCACTTTAGAAGTAAAAATTAGGATGGCGGTTCTTGAAACTTTTTTCTTGGATGAACTTGTTATTTTAATCTTTAATGAATATCTGTTAAAAATCGATTCTAGAAGTACAAAAGTTCCTAAGTGTTTCTAGTGTGTAAGTAATTGCCGAATATTGTCGAAACATGTGCCAACGATGCCTCCACCGTTGGTTCCAAGGTGGAAGCTTAACGTTGATGCACCACCGGCATCGTGTAGAACCGGCCTTCTACTTTATACGATATAGGTTTGTCGGGGTATTGAGTTGCGAACTCCAGTGCCAGTGCTCCATATGCCAAGACCGTACAACTTTTGAACGAGAAACGTCTACCCGGCAGTTAAAAAGACCATACCATAACTTGGTATACTGATGCTTCCAAAACCAATGCGGGAACAGGGATCGGGTATTTGGGCCGATGAATATCTGTGGCACCTTTTTTAAACGGTTTTATTTAGCTCTGACCCGTACGGTATTTATTTATTTGTTTGTTTATTTGGGTCAAAATTAGAAATTGAAATTTAAGTACCTTCCTGTTGTCAGATTGATCTGAAATTTGGTACACCTTTAGTTCCGATGACAATACAATATAGTAATATCAATAACATTGTAAATCTAAGATAGCCGCCGGTACAAAATGGCGGATTTCATATTTTTTCTGGTATCTACTACTAGAAACATCCGGAATCCAGAATTAGTTATATTTATTCTAGGTACCTGACAAATTATGAAAATATTTTTCTTTTTTGTTTCTAATTATTTTGAGGTGTATTCTATGTTGTTTTTTTTCATCTTTAAATAGAGTATGGTTTTAAAAGTATCAAATGATGTGTTATTAGGTATTTCACTTTATAATATTTATAATATAAAGTTAATAGAGGGATTGAATTCTGCAGAAGATGTGATTAATTACCGATATCTCTTGAAAATGTATTTCTTAAGGGGTAAATGTTTGTATAAAATTTTAAAAATCGATTCTAGAAGTACAAAAGTTCCTAAGTGTTTCTAGTGTGTAAGTAATTGAAGAGTGGAAATACCAAAGGGGTAAGTGCCAAAATTATTTTTTCGAGATAAATGAGAAAACACAGTAGAACTGAAACTAATAAATTTTAAAATATCTTTAAAATACATAGATATGTATATAATATACATAAAAATAGACGCTTCCGCTTGGCACTTGTAACTTTTGTTAGGACATGCAGCATAGTATTTATTACGTTTCTAATTTAATAACTTAATATTGAAAAATTTGGCACTTACCCCTTTGGTATTTCCACCCCCTTCAACTGAGCTCGAAAAAACGATTTTTGAAAATCATCCTAGAGGATGAAAATGTGTATCAATCTTTATTACAACTGATATCAGAAGCACAAAAATTTGAGAGAAGAGATTTTTTTTTAAATGGCAGGGATTTTAATGTCGATAAAATGGGATACGATAGTGTTGTATGAAAAATTTTGTTACATGCAAATGAGATCTGTACTGGTACTACTACATCTACTTAATAACAAAAAGAGGGAGGTGTGTAAACATTTTACAAAAATTCATTACAACTGAATAAATTAAAAAACTTTACTGTGTACTAAAAACTTTCATCCACTTTGGGGGCCAAATCGGGGATGAAAAATTACATGTAACTTCCTCTATTAAACAAATTGTGTTCGCTATCAAAGTTGTGGAAAGATTTTTCTACTGATTAAATTTACCCTTCAACAGCAATTTACTAAATTACCACAAAAAGTCGAATGTAAACGATTTTCCATTGATTTTCGCGGTGATTATCCAACCTCCCCATACATTTACTTTAATGCCCTTCGTTCCAATTATTACTACTTTCCACGATATCACGGTATCCATTAAATTTTCCCATTTTCCAATCGGGTTAAAAGTGTATTCGTCGATGGCTATCGGCGGCGGTTTGCAGGCCGGGCTTATCGCGATTTTACACGCGAAAATCAATCGGCGGATCGACGAAAAAATAATTATTCTAATTAAAGTGTCGGTTAACAGGCAACTAACTAACCTACAAACACATTTTCCCGCGTCTATTTTATCTCTACGGAAGTTATATTATTGGCAAGCTTTATTAGAATAAATAGCTTTACCTCAGACACCTTATTTTCTATACCTAATGGTGCATCGGAACACGGGACATAGGACCTCTCGTATGAATTTTGAAAAGGTCAAATATTATCTCCCAGATGATTTTAAGCAAGTTGTATTAGAGTTTTTACGCGTTAAAGTTGCATTTCCGCCTAGAAATTTGTTTTATGCAGAATCGGCATTTTATTTTACTTTAGCAAAAAATACCGGGTGGCTCACCCCTATAACTTTTTATTTTTTTAGATAAAAAAAACGGGAATTGGTATGTTAGTATATGACATCAATTAGGATTGATTCACGTATTCAATTGTTTTTGGTCACTTCCTGTTTCACCGGAAATGACTACAACTTTTGATTTTTAAATGGCACCCTCGGTATTTTTTTACTTTATTCGATAGAAAGTGACATTGTAAATAGAATGACATATCATAAATATGTCAACTTTGACATTCTCGCTTAATAAAAACTCTTCTCTCAGTATTTTAAAATTCAATCTACAGGGCCATGGTTATGTTAAAAACACTAATTCTTAATCAAGGAACCTTGGAAAAAATAGATTTGATCGTCTAATGTTTTTAGTGTCTTGTCCTGGGCAGTTAGAAAATGCTCAAGTCGTATTTTTAATCATATATCAATTTTTTAAATGGAACGAGGGTGGCTCATTAGCATATTTAGAAAAAAGCATTTTTTTTACGAATCATTTGATACCACATCAACCTTACAACCTAACCGATATTTCGAGTCAAATTTTCGTTACGAACCGCAAGTTATAATTTCAAATAAACCATATGCGAAAATGTCAAAAGTTGACATATGATATGTCATTCAATTCAGAGTGTTATTTTTATCGAATAAAGTAAAAAAATACCGCTGGTGCCATTTAAAAATCAAAGTTGTAGTAAGTTCCGGTGAAACAAGAAGTGACCGAAAACAATTGAATACGTCAATCAATTCTAATTTATGTCATATATTAACATACCAAATCTCGTTTTTTTAAATGAAAAAATAAAAAAGTTATAGGAGTGAGCCACTTTTGAGGCACACCCCGTATACTTTCAAATTATTAAACTTTATAATACGACACAGTGAAAGCTACATTTAAAATACCAGCAAAAATATGATTTTGTCATTGTCAAATTCGATGTCACATTTTGTTGAGAAGAATTCATATTTGTATGGTTTGAAAAGGCTGGTTGATTTAAATTATAATGATCATCTACAAAAGAATTTGTTGAGTTGGAAGTAGTATTCGCGGTGTATGTTTTGTTTGCTATTCATTAATCAATCATACTCTTGGTCTCGTTCATAGCACATACATATACAATAATCCAAAATCGAAATATTGGTAATTCAAAGAACTTTACTAAACAGTTATATCAATGGTAATATAAAGCACTAATTCACTACAATACACCAAATCACTTTTACTTTTGCACTGGACGCGCGTTTCGCTAACCATGTTCATCAGCAGATGATTAAGACTAGCAATGATAACATAGTTATCGAAACGTTCGTCCAGTGTAACAGTAAAAGTGTTTTGGTGTATTGTGGTGAATTAATGTTTTATTTTGCTGTTGTAACACAAAAAGTTCCATCCCCTCGAGTGTAATATATTAATTGATAAAATGTAGAAATAATCACGTATTCAAAGCGAACGAAAGATCAGAGATACAGTTAGAGACCTGGCAGATCAATAAT